ATAGACAAAAGGTACATCATATCTGTGTCAAGCTAGAGAAAATACGCTAAAGGTTTTGTTTGTATCAGGCAGTCACACTGGCGTGAAATTACAACTGTCTTTATACTGCAGATCAAGTTTTCAATCTGTTGGGATCACATTGCTAGAAGTGGGTCGGGTCATCGTAGAAGGTGTCGTTGCTAGCTGTATGGCATTTTGACCCTTCCTCCAGCAGCCTAGTTCTGGGATCAGCTGCCCTTTGCAATGAAGCAAGACAAATTATGTTGACGACATTCAAAATTACAGATGCTACTCACTTCCAATTTATTCCACAGATAGCTCGTAATTGCCAGCATAACAAGCAGAATTTTTCCTTGAAATTTGTCCTCTTTATAAGAGATTTGAATCATGTTAATGCAATGGATATTCCCCTTTCACTCTATTCTAAAATTATCCCTATGTGTGGTTGTCACAACGTTGTCCCCTGCTATACATTTTTTCCATTTATTTTATCATAAAAAAATGTCCATAATTCTTTGTTCAATAACCTTCAAAATTTTGTGGGAATTCTTGTCTGAAAAATAATGTTATAGTTAATTTAGTCAGACTTAACACCAAAGCTTTCATGCATAATTAATTATGCAAATAAGCCTCAAGCTTTCTTATTCAACAGAACCAGGTCATCTGTGAACTGAAATCTATAAGCTGAATACAACATAAGTTAAACCTGGGCTTTCATAATCTAGTTTTGTAGACTATAAGGTTTAGTGATAGTGGTAAGGTATAATATTCATAAGACTATTTTAAGTATACTGTATCAATGTAGTAATTAGTTATTGTTGTTAATTTATATTCTTTATTATAAATACAGTGAATTCATTTATTCAATCTTATGGTATATTTTATTAGAAATTTCACAACATGCAAATAGAAATGATACAAAGGTTTAAATAAGAATTAATGATATAACATTGTACTGTAGTAAGAACTAAGTTGTGTTATATTAACAAGCAAAAAAAAAATTACACATTAAAAGTACCAATACTTAAAATCAAAAAGGCACCTGGACAATATGAACATTCATAAATAGTAAACATAAAAAAAATGTGATAATTACTTATTATTTTAATTATTATTATTGCTATCATTCATTATTAATTCAATTAAGTTCATCAATAAAAAACTGAAACAGAATAATTACAATATTGCACAAGAAAAAATATCGAAGAAAAAATTCGAACTGCAATAAAATTTAAAAAAATATGAAATTTCAAAATTTGGTAATTATTATTATTATTATTATTATTATTATTATTATTATTGCTATCATTAATTTTATTTCAATTACAGTATTAATTTTGTCAATAAAAACATACATTAGAACAATAGTTACGTTATTGCACAAGAAAAAATACAGAAGAAGAAATTTCAGGCTGCAATAAAATTTAAAAAATAAGTAAAATTGTTTTGTTTTTTTCTTTGATAATAGGCAATATTCCATTAATATTAGGGCTTTTAAATAAATTATTTCTTTTTTATAATGTAATGGATATTTCATCACTTTTTTATATATTTATACTGAAAGCATAATGATTCAGATTTATTATTTTTGTTAAGTGAAATTATATTTATTTATTTATTTATTAAGGTATAACACACAAAACAAAACAACAGCCAAAGGCTGAAAACGTTTGTTTACAATCAACAAATAAAGA